TCAAGACAATCAAATAGGTCATAAATATAAGTAGATTTTAATCCAAAGATTAAAGTTACAAGTAAATCATAATTTCGATATTTTTTAAACAGTAACAAGCAAAGTTTTGGAGCTTTTATATTCAAAAGTTTAGTTAGGCCTATGGCAGTGCAACTCTCTTTACAAATCTAATGCTTTTCATAGAATTTGAGTAAAACAGATTATTTTTCAAGAGGTAATGTACATTTAATCTGAGAGAACTGAATTTCACATATAGATACATACTTATGTATGAATTATTTACAAGTATCTTTAAAATTTAAGATATTTAAATGCATCTGTTATTTCATGAAATGTACCTTCATATATAGGTTATTTACAGATGCATGCATCCCTAACATAAAATACACATTGAAATGTAATTCTTCTTTATCCTTTAAAAACAAATTTGAAAATTAATCTTAATGTTTTCTGATGAATAACCACACTAATTGCAAGAATGAATATCAATCTTGAATTACACATACAAAAAAAGCATGTCCACAAATTCATAGCTTAAACAAGTGTCAAAACAGATATTAATGACTCAAATACATAGAAAAAAATTAGTTGATTTAAAAAGTTGTTTTCCCTTTCAAAATATTCTACAAATTCACAACTTATTTTAAGTCAATTTCAACCCACATTTGTTTGCAGGTTTGCATTTTCCTATAAAGAAAACGTATTTCCAATAATACTTACCTCCTCTCATACTTTAGTTTTGTCCCGACAAAAGGTTCACTTCTTCGCCCATCTAAGCATTAGTATAAATTCTACCTTGCTTGCACCAGTCTTTATACGTCACTATACTGCCCCTAGTGATTTTAATCTCATGACTCTCTCCACCAATGTCAATGTACCCTCTATAACCAATCCGTATATAAGCTCCCCATTAGTCTTTCTTATTACCTCTTTCAAGACTGGCAAAACACACCTCCACTCACACTTTAGCTAGAATCCAACATTGACCAGATAGAGTGGCCAGTGAGGGCAAGATCCACACAGAAAGCATCTGCATAGAAAAACAGGTGTGCAAAATTGAGATATAATAAAGCACACTAGTGGGGTCCACTCTACTTCTGGAACAAGCATGTTCTTTGCCCAGATAAAGTGAAATCTAAATGTGGATGGTAAAGGCCAACTGACTACAGAATCAACATTGTTCATTATCATGAGATTAGTCCAGACCCCAACCACACAGACGAGGTTCCATGCCTTGTCATTATACTTATAGGGCTTTGGGCACAAGACTAGATCCAAGGTGTAGTGGCTAGGGCATGGGGAGTGCAATATAATTGTAAAATAGGAATATGATATGAAGGGAATTCAACCCGAAAGTTGCAGTATGTTGCATGTCGAGCTACAGGAATTACAAATAGAGGGTAAGCAACACTTAAATGGACACACCCTCACTCCAACCTCAGAATGCAACAACTAAAAATTATGGAGCCAATTCACACCTCACTCAACCTGAAGAAACAGAGATCGTCCAGCCTGGGATTACAAACCAAAATCCTAACTTCTTAACCTGGGAGGCAAGGTAAAACCTCCTGCCCCCGGATTTACAAGGAGGATATGGAACAAACAAAGTCCAATCAATGGCTCATGAACATGATGCTCCATGTATGGAATTATGGAGAGTCAAGGACACTCCTCCATGATCATGGAAAGTAAGAGAATGACCAAAAGAAAGGGCCATGACCACACAACCAGATAGCAAAGTCTCATCTCTGAACTGGAATTACAAGGTGACTCCCACATAGGCTGGACCAGCTCCTCACCCAACATCTGGGAAAACCATCCAGAGTTAAGGGTGGGAGGGTATTCAGCTTCACCCTCTTCACCCTTAAGGAGTGGAAAGCCAACTGGCATGAGACATAGAGGAGGAGGAGATGAGAACTGAATAACCAATCCACTCCCGAGAACTTTAATGACCCACTGATCTGTGGTGAATGTCTCCCATACTGACAAAAACCCTCTAAGACAAGACCCCACAGGACCCAACCCCATAAGGTAGTCACTGATGCCAAAATCTGCACTCCATCCTGCCATAAGATCTCCACTGGTAAGGTTGAAATCCCCCTTGTGTGCCTATAGATCATGGTGCCAAAGTAGGAGATCTGGAAACTTGCACTAGAGATGTAGTTTGTTTTGAATTTCATGCAAAACTACACAAAGGCAATCTGTGCTAGCCATTTCTAATTTAGCAGTGAAAGACTAGATGGAAGGCAGCTAGTCATCACCATCCACTGCCAACTCGTGGGCTACTCTTTTACCAACCAATAGTGGAATTGACCATTATATTATAATGCCTCTATGGCCAAAAGGGTGAGCATTTTTGGTGGGACAGGGATTCAAACCCTCGACTATCATATTGCAAGTTAAGAACCCTAACCACCTAACCATGCTGAGCCCAGAGATGTAGTATACCATCTTGTAGAAGAACTTTGGGACAGTCAAGAAGTCAATGTAAAAAGTGATGAATGTAGATGGGCGACATCTGCTCGAGATTCCATGGAGTTTGGAATTTCCACAAAAATAGACTGTCTGAGAAAAGAAGCCTCTCTGAGATCTCTAAAGTCTGACGTATGAAGGCAAACTCCCTCCAGTAAGGCATCTCTTTCAAAAAGATCCCAGCAACAAACAAACCTAGATACCAAGGAGAGAGCAGAAGCCAATAACCTAACCAAAGTGGAAGCCAATAGATGACTAAAATTTTCAAAATTTGAGCAATTCTATGATAGACCTCAGACAACAGCTGCAAAGATGAAAAAAATGCAAAACTGTTGTAAAGGAAAGACAAATTCTGGAAAACTGATATTGATAAAGATGAACAGTGGCATCTTGTGTAGAGCCACAAATAGGTAGTAAGGGGTCTAACCTCAGGGTCCAAATAATGGTTCTCCAGGCAAGGGAAAGCCAAGACATGCTGATCCAATAAATAATGAAGACAAGGAATGGCAGCACTCTCCCTCAGTTGTTCTGCAAATCTGCTTGCATGAATAGCAATGTCTGGCAAAGGTGGAAGGACCAGGTAATTATACAAACTAGTTTCTCCCAATAAAAGAGGTGAAGATTCAAAAGCCACAGGAGGAATACTCAAAACATTACAAACATGGCATACTAGTTGTAAAAAGGGTGCAGGAGACAGAATGTCCATTTGAGGTTCATGAGTAGCTGTCTGAACAAAGGAAAGTGCTGCAAAAATAGAATCTAAATTCTCATTAGTCTGCCCTTGATCTCCCACAAACTTGGCCTCAGAGCTAACAGGAAAAAAAAAGCATCAGATCACATGCAAGACTTCTCTGCATATAAGGAACTGTGTGCCCTCCAAGAAAGGTGCCCACCTACCCCCGTGTAACATTAGACTTGTGAGGTGGTAGAGGAGGGGCATCAGGCGACTCTGTGTTTGAGACGTGAATGTGAGTATTCATATTTGAAAAACATCTCAAAGAAGAAAATCATCTCTTTTCTTCCATAAAGCCAAGTAAATAAACAATAAACTCAAGACCCACGAAAAAGATTTAAAATAATCCAAAAGAAAATGTTTTAAATGTAGTAATAGCACTGATGAGAAACCCACAGTAAAGACAGAAGACCATCTTCATAATTTTTGCCATCAAGAACAAGTGAATAAGAATAATGGGAAGCTTATATATGGATCAGGTATAGAGGGTGCATTGACATAGGTGGAGAGAATCACAAGATTAAAATCACTAAGGGCAATATAGTGTGGTATAAAGACTGGAGCAAGCATGGTAGAATTCATACCAATGCTTAGATGGGCAGAGAAGAGAACCTTTCATCAGGATAATGCTAAAGTGTGAAAGGAGGTAAGTGTGTTTTGTAAGAGTTGTTTAAGTCAAGTGGTGTGAGAACAACAATACAAGAAAATTTTCAACATAAAAATTAGTTTTTCATTTATGCATGTCAGACTAAGTATATAAAACATTTAACTAGGGATCTAACGCTGTGTATTGATATTATTTTTTTACAATTCAAAGAATATTAATCTGTAGTTTGTGAGAAATTACATCACTACAAGACTGATATTAATATTTTGTAAATTTTTCTTTATTGACCCTATACTATAGATTTCCTGTAAAAATAAATGTAATGGCATTCTGACCTTGCACACCTTGTGCGCTCCACTGCTAATGAGGACTCTCACTCAATATCAGAACTCTTTAAGCCAGTTGGGAATGGAACACACAGTCTTAATTGAACCGATAAAGGTTTTAAGCAAATTATTATCAACCTATATGTGACGTAATATTACACAAACTACCAAACAGTAAATTACACTTTGATAGCTTAAGGTTTTACATACCGTACTAATTTATATATTACAAATTAATAACATAAATAATGTTTTGAATAAACACTTTAAGTTGCATTTTCAGATGACCTAATGAGAAAGATTGAAACAAAAGATCTCATCAGCTATGGTGTGTGGCATAAAACATATGCAGTCAAGATACTATTATGTTTCTTCTTACTTGAAACCCAAAGAATAAAACCAGTAAAGAAAGATTCACAAACATTATCATCATAAATAATATTTCAAGTAATATCCTCTACAGCTTGTATGTAACATAAAATTAGACATTTCATTATGCACAATAGAAAAAGAATTCTACATCAATAAATCAGTCCAGTGTTCTTATTATTTATGTTCAAAGCATTTATAAACACATATTTGATTTTACATTTTTTTGTAATTTTTTGAAGCTATTCAAAAGCTTGTGTTTTTTTTTAATCAGATTTAGCTTGACAGGAAACTAGTGTCGAGTATATCTGCTTTTTAATTTGAATAGATACCTTAATAATAGTCTTTCATAATTTCTGTCTTCACTGAGTTGTCAGTTATCAGACAAAAAAACATTTAGAAATCACAAAAGCAAAACAATGTAAATCCATAACAATCTTTCTTGAATGTTCACATTATATATAAATTATCAGTCAAAGATATTACAAAATACCTCGTTCCTAGACGTTTGCCTTGGTCATCTGTGCTGTTATCCATCCTATCTAACTGACATACACTGTCACACAGGTTTGTGACTATAGAGAACTATAGGCTACAAACAATGCTGGCTATTCTCAATCAGCTGTGATCTCAAAGCTACAGGTCACATGTATATGTAGAATCTTTAGATAAAGTTTCTTAAAACCCTGAGAAAAAAAAATTATGGAAAACCTATCACAACTTGTACTTATCTTCACATTAAGAATAAAATACTATCAACTGCTCATACCTCTGAAATTCCTTCCCTCAAAATAAAACTTACAAATATTATGGTGATGAAAAAACTGAAGTAATATCTGAATAGAATTATATGAATGTAGAAAATATTTTTGCTTTTAAATGCTTACTAAAAACAATGAACATGTACACTTTCTTTAGTTATTTACTTCAAAAGGCTTTCTAATATGAATAAAACTAAAAACATCATACACATGTTTATCATATAAATGTATAAAGTCAAAAAGTATCTTTTATAGTAGACATTTAACAAAAACTGATTCTCACACTGAAAAAACATTTTATTATATCACTAAAGATTTTCAGCCTTTCAGAATGTGTTCCATTAGGCAAAAGTCCACAGACATATGAATTCCTGAAATGAAATATTATCAGAAGAAAAATGATGTATTTTTGAACAATACTCACCTCTACATATCAAGACCAAATGGCAGTAGTAACTTTGATACTTGCAAGTTCAGTTATTAAAGTATAAGCAAGCTACTGGTACTAACACTTTACAAATTCTTAAGCATACTGTAGCTAAATGCATAATCAGCTTTGCCACCAGTTTCTACCAAAACTGCAATTAACAGAAACCTAAATGAAGAAAGTGTGTAATTACATGCATAGCCAATAGGCTGTACGACTAGAACCTGTGGCCACCTACATACTTTCATGCTATGAACATCTTCTGTGTAAGACAAGGATATTATGTTAACTCTTATGAGAAATTGGATACTACTTTAACTACTTAAAAATCAAAGAGTCTCTGTATTAATTTAGTAAGAATATATGCATTACTGTTAACCAACATAAAAAAGTTTTTATGAATGAGAGTTTAATGGCACATGACATCTTGCAATTAGAAAAAGTAACTGTTTAAACTCTCTCAAACCATCATTTCCCAACATGGTAATATCAAAGTTATGTCTATTAGAGCAAGTTTAGGAACATATCTGGTTCACTAAATTACAAGTAACCTTGCATACATTTTCAATAAATATGTTACAGACATAATTAATGTTTAAACACTCAATGAATTTAACATTACATATAAACTTAGTTTTCATTGGTTTAAATCAACGTGACAATTTAATAGGTTTCAGGTGCCATTAATTTGTTGTTGTTTTTTTCTAAAGTCAAACTTTTCTCTATTGATTTGTCTTCCAGGATAAAAAACAGGATTTCTTATGTTTAGAAATATCTTATAATCATTGATGTTGAATATCAAACTGAATTAGAGATAATTCACACAAATTAAATACAAATCCCTATGAAAAATTAATAAATACAACCTATCTTATATTGAAAATTAAGAATATTATATATTTTCTTGATAAATTACTTTAAGATCTATGTTACACATTTAGAAAATGTTCTTAATATGCAAAGTGTTTCTAATACAGTGTGATGTTGCTAGTCGTAGGACAAATAGTATTTTGAACTATATTTACAGAATTATTGAATACAAGTATAAAAAAAGGTTATCATTTCAATGTATAGGTCACTGATTAAGCTTTATTTAGTATACTGTGTTCAGTTTTGGGATCCTTAGCTTATAAAGGATATTAAGTTGTTAGAAAGAATTCAGAGGAAGATAATACCTTGGATGAAAAAGCTGTCAAAGAGGACTGGTTAAGATCTCTGAAATTACTTTCTCTTGAAAAAGGAAGAGTTAGAAGAGGGGATATTATTGGGGTCTTTAAGATTGCTAAGGGGATTGACAATATTGATGCGTAATCTTTTTCATAATTAAAACGGTGAGAAGGGCAGTTAAGGGATAAAACAGTTTTATTTCTAATGAGTTGCCTTGAGATACGGTGGATGCAATAAATTTAAGGCAGTTTAAAGGACGGCTCAGTAAATACCTAAATGATCAGGGAATTTTTTTTTTAATTGATGAGATAACCTTGATGGACAATACCCGTGTTGTCCTGAAATGTCATTTTATACATGAATTATTACACACCATACTCATTTATAACACAGTAAGTAATATAACATTAATATTATGTCATTAATACTCCAATACTTATTACTTCCTGAAAGAAGAATAAGATAGGACATTAGTAAACATATTAGGATAACATATTGTAGTTCTTTATGTTTAAAAATTACTCTTTAGGTCTTGTAGAGTAATGAAACAATGTTCAAGTTCTTGTTAGTTTACTAGCTGCAACTACACAGCATTGAAAGATTAAAGGCTTTTATTACTGCTTTCAAAGACATTTCAAATCTTCTTTCATGCTGCTTGGGTTTAATCATCAATGGCTTGCAGCAGGTATCTCATGCAAATCACTGAATTTATAAACCCAGAACAAATTTGATAAAATAAACCTAACTTTAAAATATCAAAAATCTACTATGATGAGTCATCATTACACATTTATACAAGTGTGTATGTCATGTATCAAATCTAAGAACTTACGTTATTGGAATTCTGTTAGTCCAATGCAAGAAAACTAAGAGAAAAGCCAGTATATATTTCAATGGTTTAAACACTTTTTGCACCATACAGAGAAATAATAACTCTGTTCAAATTAATACCCTTCACCTTACACAGTGAATTGTATGCCAGAGATGGACTCCACTTAATCAGGCTAGGTAGCAAGATTTTTGGGAAAACTCTAAAATGCTCAATAAAGACAGTTTAAACTTGCATAGTGGTGAGGAAACTATGAAATAAATCAACCCAAGGAAAAGCTGAGGCAATGAGGAAATTAGAATAAGAACTACAACATAACAGGTTGAGTGATCACTAATGATTTTAAAAGAGGAGTCTGAGATATAAAGATAAGCCTAGTTGCTATTATTCTGATATTAAAAGTACTAGAAGCAAAATTAATGTGTTCAGCATTCATGTTGAACAGAATAGAATTACTGAAACTTGGTTAGATTTGTAAAAAAAATTGATAATAGGAATTATTTTGAAATTCAGCTTATAACCTATTAAAGAGTGATAGATTTTTTTAAAACAGGGGATGGAGTGACTTTATATACGGATGAAATGAAGACAAAAAGAAAGGTAGTCAAGAGGTTGAACCTACTTGGGTTACAATCAGGGGTTTCAATGGTAGAAAGTTTGTAACTGGCAGTTGCTATAGACCACCTGATCAGACAGATGATATCAATGAGAAAATGTATAATGAGATCAGGGTTATTACTAAAAAGATACTGATGTAATAATTATGGGATTCTGAACGGACACAATGACTGTGATTGCATAGAGTCAAATAGTGAGGATAACAGGTTTCTTGAAATTCTTCAAGATGGTTTTGTACACCAAATGGTCAGAGAGCCAACATGACGGGTTGATATTATTAACTATTAACTACCTGTATCCATGAGGGATCAAACTGTGCATGCTGTAGTTTTACATAGCATGCCATTCAACATGGTATTATGTACTTGATGTCAGAGTTATCAACCATTCATTTTACCATAACACTGCTGATTTAGCAACAGTTCATGTAACTGGTAAATACAAGTTACAATATAAATAGTAACTAAAATAAATTGTAGATATGAATTTCAGAGGTTCTAGAGATTATGTAAATGCAATATGCAGACAGTACAATGGACAAAAGTATTCTTATTTTATTCTTTCTATAAACATCATCTTGCACTTCAACTTGTCAGAGTCTGAATCAGTCTGATATTGTCAATTCACAAACATATGTTGAGTACAGTTATTTTTGTAACACATGATATTTTGTGTACCACAGTCTTGTACATTTTACTAAAAGCTCTCCACATGTCATGTAGATAGATATAGCAAATTTGGAATTATAATCAACAATCCTTCTCCAATATGGACTGACCCCATGTACATTTGGTTAATGAAGATGTGGTTGCAAACGTTGAAGAGGAGAAATACTTGGAGAAAGAGTGATCATTGCATCACTAGATTTGAGGTTTTGCTACTTATTAAAATAAAAAATAAGAGAAAATATTGTTCCTAATTTTTAGAAAGCTAATTTTGAGACCAGTAGATAAGATTTGTTACTAGTTAATTGGGATTATGAGTTAAAATGTGATGCGGGAAAGATTTTAGGAATTTTTTAAAATAATTTTATTTCAATTAAAGGTAGGTACACTTATAAAAAGGTGAAACAGATAACAGGAAAGATCAAATTGAACTGGCTTACTAAACTAATAATAGAAAAAAATCAAGGATATATTCCACAATTTTAAAAGTCAAGAATTTGTCTAAAAAAGAAAACAGGAAATCCAAAAAAAAGACTCGTAAGAAACAGCTGGCTGCTAGTATTAAAACTAACAGCAAGGATGTTTTTATCTATATTATAAAGATAAGCAAAATATTAAAATGGAGATGCAGCCCTTAAATATTGCTGATGGCAAGGTTTTGGTTGAAAACTGAGATGGCAAAGCTTTTAAATGTTTTCTTCTTCTCTTCTGTTTTTAAAAGATACTTGCAATATTCTTGACCCTGAGCATTCTATGAGATATTAGGATTGATCTGAATCATGCCAATACTTGGTGGTAAGTAGAAAGACTGAAGATTACAAAAAGATAAAGTACCAAAGTCAGACAATCATTACCCCAGGATTTTAAAGAAGGTCAAACTTCAAATATGTAAAAGCCTCTGTCTGTCATTTATGATAGGTCAATAGACAATGGGCAGGTGCTTAAGAATTGGAAAGTTCTATTTTTAAATGGGTGATAATGTGTGATTACTATTCAAACACTGTCAAATGATTTTTGTTAACAAGAGTAAAAAACCTGATATTGTTTGAATGCCTCCTGGCTAGTGAATGAACCTTCAAACACAGCCCTACTAAACGGACATAAGTACATGTGGCAGCTATGTAATTTACTAACTTGAAACGGAATAAGACAGTTTCACTATTAAAACATGCTTTCTCTAACTGGGTTGGAGTCTTTGCTAATTGTTTTACAAAGAATAAGCACAGCACACTAAAATTATTTGACAAGTTTTATTTAAATATAAACATATTTTACTTCATTAATTCTCAAATCTAATTTTAAAAAAGGAGTCCAAAAAGAAAAAATCTGCCAGCATGTTTCTTGAAAAGAAAAAAAAAGATTGAAGAACCTAATTGTTTCTTTTTTGTCCACCCTAAAAAACCTTTCCAACATAGGCATGGCCTTTATGCAGAATGGTTGAATGAACCTTATGAAAGGGGGGTGGGGAATTAAGCAATAACATAAGAAATTAATCACATTATAAAAAAAATCTTAAACTTGTATAAGTCAGTAACAAATTAAAAACACATTCGTCTGCAGCTGTGTCGTATATCTGCAAAAACAAAAATTAATAAGAGAACATGTAATATATAAAAAGATGTGACCATTTTTCATCCCAATTATTATACTTGAAGCCTGTAGTATTATACAAAGGTAAAAGACAAACTGAAGGCTAGTATTACAGTACTTGAGTGTTCACAGAGTGATGATAAAAGGGCCTAAGTGGTTAGAAAACTAACAGGTGGTAATATACTAAGAATAGTAATCAAACAAGTTACTCAAAAGTTGCATTAAAACTGGTGTATTTATATTCTTATAAGATGCCACACAAAAGATCAGCTAATAAAATCACATCAGTGGGGATTATGGAAGGACTAATAAATTGGGCTGCACCATTATGCCAATGTCTCTTTCTTCAGTCATGCTGTTTAGTGGGTCCCATCTATATTAAACATGTGATCCATATTATGGTAACACCCAACAACAGGGATCCAATACCTTTTATTCTAAAAATTAAGAAATAGGCTTATGGAATGATTTGTTATTGGCACTAGTAGGAGCCAGCATTTTACAAAGAATTTAAAATGGGGAATTAATGATTTCCTTCAAAGAGGTCCAAGTAGTTTAAACTTTCAATACATGTAATACTAAATTCCTTACAGTAAGTGATAACTGATGCCTAGTAACTATGTGCATCCTCCAATACAACTAATGTATTTCCCTGCTGAAAAGAACCAAAAGCAAGGTCACTACAACTTGTATTCAATTACAAATAATAGTCAAAAGAGACTTTAAAATGTGGTATTAAGCCTGAGGATTAATATGGGTTTACAGTGATGATCAATTGTAAAACTGTATTCTATAAACAGCAACAAAACCATAAAAATAGAATAAACTTAGTTAGCCCAAACATTAATGACCTGTTTTTACCAGTAGAATCTACATACTGAGTAATTTTATTTTTGCCTGTTGCAACATTCAGTGTAAATAACTGACCAAAAATTGGGTAAAAATATCACTCATTTTCTACATAAGCTAAAGAAGGGGACATCAGCAGTAATAAGTAAACATAAATGCAATATTGAATGGTATTTTTAACTTGCATTTTTTGTATGCAACTTACATGTTATTAAGGGATATGTATTGTACTATGCAATTATATGTTACTGAAAAAGTATGATCCTGCTAGTCCAAATACCTCCCTGGGAAAATCACTTCAAATTTTGAATCCAGTAAAGAAATTCTCTTCCAATCATAAAACTAAATTTTAAGCTTTAAAGTGGCTAATTTTTAATTTCTATGTACTCATGTATATGTTAGATTTTTATAAAATGGCTTCAACAAGTTACTGAAATTAATGGCAAATAGTTATTAACTATGCCTATGCAAGCATGTGGCAAGGGAGGCATTTGCTCCCCCTGGAATTATAGAAAAATATTATTTTAAAAATGTATTAAAAAATAATGTTATTTAAATATAAATGACAAGATTAGGTTTATATAAATATGCCATAACGAGCGACATCATCTCATTCAAACTTAGAGGCAAAAAGCCTGTTCTCTGTGATGGCTTGCCCCCACCCCAAATAAATTATGTGGATGCCCATGTATGGAAATATAAAAAAAAAATGTAAAATTATTCTTTCTGCTTATAAACAAAACGTAGGTGACTTCCAAAAGTAATTCAAATAATTAATAATACATCAAATTTCTTTTAAAAATTTCTAATATTTTATAAGAATAAGAATTCCTTTACTTTTTGAATTTCAATATTCACGTTCTACGTCTGGCTGGTTGTTATTTATTTATTAATTATTACTACTATGATTAATGTCCGCAATAAACAAGTAAAGCCTAAAGCAAAGGTAACTGTGGTCGTAATAATACTATTCTTATTATTAATGGTCAAATTTTCTATATAATGCTCTACATTTTTTTAATCCAGCGTACTAATGCATGACCAAACTCAACGGCACAATAAATATTTACACAGAATGTAACGCAACTTTATGCTTCTCATATTATAAATATAATTTATACTTTTTATACTATAGTTCTAAGCCTACACTAAATAATAATTTAATATACAACTTTACAAAAGTCAAACTAAAATTTAAAACGCGCAATAAATATAAGTAAATTTACCTGAAGTTTTGCTCATAAAATCCACTTTAGTTTAAGTCTAATTCAACACGATCAAAATATTTTCTCTGTGTTTAAAAAAAGTGCATATCCTAGATAAATAATTCAAAGTAAAACGTTTCCAATAATAAGGCAAGGAACACTCATGATTCATTCCAAACGTCTAATGATATAAACCAGGAGGTTTCGACGGACGCGCGTACGTTATGGAGGGTATTATTTCTAAATTAACCCACTAGGGCAAAATTAGAATTTGACATTGGGGATTTAAAAAAACTTGTATATTTAAAAAATACTCAATGAACTCCACGGTTTTATTTATTTTTTGCAAGCTTTCGGCTGTAGTGTCGTAGCCATTCACGGCTGAATTATTTGACAGCTACGGCACAGTAGCTAAAAGCTTGCAAAAAATTAAATGAAAACGTGGAGTTTACACGTTTATTATGTTTTAATTACCTACCCACCTTAAAAGCCTCAAATAATAAAACTTTATTTTTAAATTTTTAACTTGTTAAATACTTCCATTGTATTTAAACATATTTTTTTTTGCAAATCATAAAATATTTAGCGTTAAATCTAATTTTTTTTCAGAGACTATACCTTGAATTTTATCAATAAAATCTGTATAATTAAATAGTAATGTGAGTGCGTATATGGGAAGCGTTTTAAACTTCATTAGAATAACCAAGCAAAAATGAAATATGGAATACGAAGTACGCACGATATCACCATATGCGTAAGGGAGGGGTGAATGTAGATAATGCTAAGCAATGCAAAGGGAAAAGTAGTTGGAGAATGGATACGTCATCCCTCAGAGTCTTGTCTCAGACAGTAGTGTTTATGTGTTAAGTGCAAGATGCCTTTTACACTAGAGGTGTTTGGTAGGTATGATGTGTTGTGCAATATATTTAACCCAATTATGTTTAAACCCAAAGTCATAAGACGCCCCACACGTCCACCAGATTTGTTCAGAACTCTACGTACTTAACCTAGAACGTGAGCAATCTAGGTAGATCACTTAACTGTTTTAAGTACACAACACTGTCTTTACATTGAAATACAAAATACCACAAGCCCCTCCCCCAAAAAAATGTTCCGTGCGCGAAGCATGAGTCTTTCCCCTTGTAATTAGTACTTTAAAATACTACTTTTGATGCTGTCAGTTGGTTATTCCTTCCATATTTACTCTAAAATGTACCAAAGCTAGCATAGGTTAGTTGAGTTCCTTTTTGCGGCATTACTTTTCAACTGTAGCCACAGATTTTCATTTGAATTCAAGCCTGCTGCCAGTTGCACATAGACTTGCAGTGTATGTATCATCAAGGTTCATTAAAATTGCCCCCAGTGGCTCAGCAGTAACGCTAAAACCTGGGTTTCGATACCTGTGGTGGGCATACCACAAATAGCCCAAAGGGTAGCTTTGTGTTTAACTACAAATAAACAAGCAAACTCATTAAAAATACGTTAACAAAGACTAAGCAATACATCAGGACGAATAAGTTAAAAACTAATACGTAAATGATAAAACGAACATAGACACCCTTAACGGAAATCAGTTGAATAACTTTCGGAAGAGAAATCTACGCATATTGTTTTGGAGGAGGAGGGGTTAGTGGCGTGAAAACATCGCTTTTGACAACAACAGATAAACACTTCCTAACTTTATAAACCTATCATTGTGTTTCACTATTTTGTCTTTGCACAAAAATTCTCTTTGAGTTTCTAAGAATCCTTTTTGTTTTTGTTTTTTTCGTTTTGTTTTGACAGTTCAATGCATATTATTCCATGTTTTGCAGTATTTTCCAAAATTTAGACACATGCGCATGTTCTTTAATAACACATTGGGCTTTTTAGCTGCAAATTTTTCATTTAGACAAATTTCTTGGAACTTTTTCTAACAATCGTATTGCATATTCTAACTATATATATATATATAATAATAATAATAAAAGAAAGCAGTTGTAATAATCAACAGTGTTTCCACTGCTGCAGGTTGGTCCCTTTCTCTTGGTTTTAAAATATGTCCTAGAGCCTAGTCGATCCTAGATTGGTATTTAGCTCATGAAACGTGTTCAATGACTTCAGAATGTAGTGGTCTTGCCAGAAGTAGATGTACACTGGTGTTTACACAGGACATCCACCTTTGTTTGTTAGACATCCACCGATTGTTGAAATTCCTCAAAGAGACACTTAATAGACTGCTCATGATACCTTGGAGAACATCTCGATTCCTTTACCATAATTCTGGCACTTGTTGGTGACATCTTCGGCCTTTGAGTTACCTACGGGCTTAGTTTTGCTAGAGGTTTGGGATCTACTGTTTTTCTGATACTGTTGCCAGTAAGTTCATGGTTGGCTTGGTGTCGACTGGTCGGTCTGTGATTGAAAGTGGCTGCCTAGTCATAAGAGTCTTCAGGATTAGCCTGATAAATGACACAGAAAGGTCTCACATGATAGATGTATTGGCTAACTATGCATATTCACCCATAGGCCCTGCCAACTTGAACGTCAGATCAATACTGAATACAAAGTTCTGGTTGTACTGGTTCTCATTGTCTATAACTTCCTTCATTCAATATTGATTAATTGAGTATGAAAGACCTAGCAAATCGAAGAATGAAAGAGCCAAAAGGTTAAAGAATTCGACATCAAATTGTAAAAATCCAGATTGAAAAGGTAAGATCACATAAATTACAATTGGTCAGAAGGTGAGCCAAATGTTAAGAATGTAAAAAGGGTCGTAATTGCTTGGTTACAAACATACTCTAAAACGGTCTTTAGATGCAGAGTGATAAAATTATTATGTTGGTCAAATAACATAACCGCAGGCTTCTCGTACTCTCTTGCATAGAATATGTATCTCTAACACCTGTGAACTTCTCAGTTCCCCAGGATTTATTGGGTTTCCACTTGACCAATACGTATGGCTGTGCTGCCCACTGTTGCCATTTCCATAACAATGGTCAACACAGCTTACTCCCTGACCCAGAAACATTTCCTTCACTACTATCACATTGTTACATCAGTGCCTGATTCCAGTAGCAAAGGAATAGGATCGAGGCTACAAAGTTGACCTCTACTTCTGACCTTCAGAATCCATTAATGCTTGAACACACTTTCTCTCGTAAGACTTTTTTCCAGAGACAAATTTTACAAACTAGATCCAACTTACAAAGTTTCACCAAATGAGTGTAACATCCACATCCAGCAGTACACTTACAGCCTGCATTCTCATGCATTTTAACTGCACCTTGTACTGAAACAATGTTAAGAAAATGTTTAGAAAACTGTGTGCTTATACACTATGTCAGTCTACATGATTGAAAATATTCCATCATAACCAAACAAAACGCTTGGTACACCAAATTAACATTTCACATTGTATCCAAGCTACTTTCCATGAATTTCTTTTACCACTGATAATTATTTCCCATCAATCCAATTGCACCACTCATACTGAAAAATACCAAGAATAACTATTTTCTCTCAAAACTAATTTGAGTTTTTTTATT